GCCTCAGGAGAGCATCTTTTTGGCTCAAGGGACACCGTTAACATACGTTTGTTTCCCCAAAATTGTTGTAAATAGAACTCTCAAAGACTTCTGCTATTGCACCCTTCTTGTCGTGTTCTCTCTTTGGGGACGCACACAGGATGTCATTGGGCGGCAATATCTCGGCCTAGGCACCCGTTATAACACACATGCTGCCAACCGGTAGATAGAAGTAGAAATTCATGTTTTAATTTACCATACGGGCAGCACAGGTCCTAACTGAAAGCTCAGACAAGTGGTTTGCCGGCACTCTGCCGCTGCTTGACACAAATGCGAGAGGCCCGGCTCATTAGTGGGCCCCTATATTTCGCTGTTTGCTTTCTGGTTGATAAACTGGTTTTGAAAGTTCAGCTTTTTAATTTCCTTACCAGTTTATTTATGCCGGTGGATATGTTCTGTCTACTCGTCGGCAGAATGTGTATATTTCGCGGTTATCCCACAGTGACTGATGGATTCCGGCTGAAATATGCTCACCGACCTGGAATATACTAATCTATACCGAGAAGAAAAATTAATTGCTGAGATAATTTAAAGGAAACTGAATTGTGTACTATTTGCACAACATGTTTACTTACCCCTTATGAAATTGGAGATTTAGGATTTTATTTTCCGACGTGATTTACATTGGGAGTTTTCCATTACTTGCCTTTCATACACGACAGTCGATGAAAGTGGGCTTAGTGTTACCGACCTGTTTCGTAGATTGTACGAGGAAAACTATGTTTACTCTAAACTGAAGTGTGCTATCAGTTGGACGCAAGGCAAATATGTTTTGCCGGCGAAATGTTATTTTATGAACATTTGAGAGCGGCAGAGAGAGAGAGGGACGAATTTGGAAATGTCAAGCACACAAAAGGAATGGCAACACGCGGAAGTGTGCTGTCCTCACGACTAACCCTTCGCCAAGTTACAAGAGCATTTATGAATTTCTGTTTGTTGGCTGCCTGATACGGTTGCTGCTGCTGCTGCTGCTGCTACTGCTACCGCAGATGATGAATGAATGACTGTCAGTCAGTCTCGGTTCAGTGAGCGAATGACACTGAATGACATAAGCAGCTTAATCTCATTTTATCCTCTATTTTATCCAGATTTTAAACTGCCTCAGGCGATTTGTTATCGCCATTTGCGGAGTGTATATCGCTCAGCCAAAGCGCAGTGCTAACCAGGCTTTCTTGTAAATCGCTTATAGTAGGGCATTTGTACAAATCAAGAAGTCACTTTCACGAGGAGAAGAAGAAGAAGAAGAAGATGCGGTCGCTGGATCAAGAATTTGATTGGCCTAACGTTTTTACACTCTAATCGGAGCCAATCATTAGCAACAGTTACAGATACGGGTAATGGAGGTGAAAGGGGTGCCTATTGGAACAGCATGCTTAATCCCCACTAGCAGCACCCGCGTTCATCGTTGGGGGGAAGGGGGGGGGTCGTATTTGATACGATGACAGCTTGTTTGTCCACAGCTGAGTCCTTAATGGCCGTGATTTCATCATCGTTGTTGATTCTTAGCCTGATAATAGCGCAACCCTTTGGCCACACCTTCCCTGCGTGTCCGGGAAAAACGGTAGCATGGAATATAAGATTGGGAGGTCATTGATCCGGTGGACCGACCTTACGCCTCCATAATAATTTCGCCACCCCTTAGCCCCACATCTAACCGTTTTCTTTTTTTGCCTCCAAATATGCCTTCCTCGGGAATAATCTTCCACTTGAAATCAGGTTGTCGGCTAAATTACCGATTTTCAAGGGCAAAATACGTAAGTAGTTAAATAAGGAGGAAATAAACTCCTTACTGTCTGTTTCCTTCCCAAACACGCAGCTTCTAGACTTTGAACAGGTTCGTCCTGACATTTGAGGCTCTTTCCAAGATATTAAATTGGTCTCTTAATATGCTTACATTTTCCTCTGCAGAGTCCAGCATCAATTGCAAATGATGCCAACTATTCTGCGTTTTGCAACCCTGACGGTGGTCTTCAAGATCTCTGTTGATGATCGTTGCAGGTTCTTACGTTATCGCCAACCTCTACGTGGACTCTGCAGTCTGCCTGGTCGCATCTCCGGCACCTCGGTGATTTTCTCGTGACTTCTACTATCCCCTTCTCTTTGGCCTGTTGCTTCTGAAAACATGGTTTGGCCACAGCTTCTTCGCGTGTCCAGGCAAGACTGTAGCACAGAATATGAGGTTCGGAGGTCATTTCGCTTCTTACTGGGAGGCAGGCAGGCGAACTGTGACTCAAACAAATCGCGGTTCTTGCGAATCATGGTTCTCCGGCCCGCATCCCATTAACAAGTGAAATGACCTCACAACCTTATATTCTGTGCTAAAGTTTTGCCCAGACACGCGGGGAAGGTGTGAATGACCAATGTTTCCAGGGCCAGTGAACCAAGTAGCTGTGTTATTATCATGCCAAGAATCCATTATTGGTGCTGAAGTCACAGCCATTAAAGACCCAGGTGTGGAAAAACAAGCAGAATGACCTATGTCTAAAAGAATGCGCAACCTTGCGTATCCATTCTATGCGTTGATTGGTTAATCCGTCTAGATTACTTTTCATTATTTTATCGTTGTAGATTGAAAAATGTTCTTTTATTTTTTTATTTATTCAGTTAGAAAAGTTGTCGAATGATATACTATAGCTCTTCCTACTTTGTATTATCGCTTAACTGAATGGGGAAACACCCAAACATCAGACTGCACGAAATACAACCGATACACCAGTTACAAAACCCAAAAATCTACTCAAGTTTTGTCTACGACAAAAAAATGGGAAATCGGTGAGAATTCAGGCTACTGAAAATATGAGTGTGGTTTTATTGATAAAATAAAATGGAAAAGCGGCTTTGCAAGAAAGCCCAACCAATACCGATAAATAAAAGAGTAACAATAAACAAGAATATCAATCGATCTACAATGACATACAAACTAAACAATAAAATACACAATAGTAAAGGAAATTAAGTAAAAACAAAGGCAATTTAAAATAAAACAATGCTATAACAACATGTGAAGATAGGAAAACATTTTTGGAAGAAGTAGTCGATCAACGCACAGAACGGATACGCAAGGTTCCCCATCCTATTAGACATGGGTCATTCTGCTTGTTTCTTCAGCACCTGAGTCCTTAAAAGCCGTGATTTCATCACTGTTGTTGATTCTTGGCATGATACTTACTTTTACTTGTTACGGGTTACCTAGGAAGGCGGGTTACCCATGAAAGGAGGG